TCTTCTTCTTCTTCTTCTTCTTCTTCTTCTTCTTCTTCTTCTTCTTCTTCTTCTTCTTCTTCTTCTTCTTCTTCTTCTTCTTCTTCTTCTTCTTCTTCTTCTTCTTCTTCTTCTTCTTCTTCTTCTTCTTCTTCTTCTTCTTCTTCTTCTTCTTCTTCTTCTTCTTCTTCTTCTTCTTCTTCTTCTTCTTCTTCTTCTTCTTCTTCTTCTTCTTCTTCTTCTTCTTCTTCTTCTTCTTCTTCTTCTTCTTCTTCTTCTTCTTCTTCTTCTTCTTCTTCTTCTTCTTCTTCTTCTTCTTCTTCTTCTTCTTCTTCTTCTTCTTCTTCTTCTTCTTCTTCTTCTTCTTCTTCTTCTTCTTCTTCTTCTTCTTCTTCTTCTTCTTCTTCTTCTTCTTCTTCTTCTTCTTCTTCTTCTTCTTCTTCTTCTTCTTCTTCTTCTTCTTCTTCTTCTTCTTCTTCTTCTTCTTCTTCTTCTTCTTCTTCTTCTTCTTCTTCTTCTTCTTCTTCTTCTTCTTCTTCTTCTTCTTCTTCTTCTTCTTCTTCTTCTTCTTCTTCTTCTTCTTCTTCTTCTTCTTCTTCTTCTTCTTCTTCTTCTTCTTCTTCTTCTTCTTCTTCTTCTTCTTCTTCTTCTTCTTCTTCTTCTTCTTCTTCTTCTTCTTCTTCTTCTTCTTCTTCTTCTTCTTCTTCTTCTTCTTCTTCTTCTTCTTCTTCTTCTTCTTCTTCTTCTTCTTCTTCTTCTTCTTCTTCTTCTTCTTCTTCTTCTTCTTCTTCTTCTTCTTCTTCTTCTTCTTCTTCTTCTTCTTCTTCTTCTTCTTCTTCTTCTTCTTCTTCTTCTTCTTCTTCTTCTTCTTCTTCTTCTTCTTCTTCTTCTTCTTCTTCTTCTTCTTCTTCTTCTTCTTCTTCTTCTTCTTCTTCTTCTTCTTCTTCTTCTTCTTCTTCTTCTTCTTCTTCTTCTTCTTCTTCTTCTTCTTCTTCTTCTTCTTCTTCTTCTTCTTCTTCTTCTTCTTCTTCTTCTTCTTCTTCTTCTTCTTCTTCTTCTTCTTCTTCTTCTTCTTCTTCTTCTTCTTCTTCTTCTTCTTCTTCTTCTTCTTCTTCTTCTTCTTCTTCTTCTTCTTCTTCTTCTTCTTCTTCTTCTTCTTCTTCTTCTTCTTCTTCTTCTTCTTCTTCTTCTTCTTCTTCTTCTTCTTCTTCTTCTTCTTCTTCTTCTTCTTCTTCTTCTTCTTCTTCTTCTTCTTCTTCTTCTTCTTCTTCTTCTTCTTCTTCTTCTTCTTCTTCTTCTTCTTCTTCTTCTTCTTCTTCTTCTTCTTCTTCTTCTTCTTCTTCTTCTTCTTCTTCTTCTTCTTCTTCTTCTTCTTCTTCTTCTTCTTCTTCTTCTTCTTCTTCTTCTTCTTCTTCTTCTTCTTCTTCTTCTTCTTCTTCTTCTTCTTCTTCTTCTTCTTCTTCTTCTTCTTCTTCTTCTTCTTCTTCTTCTTCTTCTTCTTCTTCTTCTTCTTCTTCTTCTTCTTCTTCTTCTTCTTCTTCTTCTTCTTCTTCTTCTTCTTCTTCTTCTTCTTCTTCTTCTTCTTCTTCTTCTTCTTCTTCTTCTTCTTCTTCTTCTTCTTCTTCTTCTTCTTCTTCTTCTTCTTCTTCTTCTTCTTCTTCTTCTTCTTCTTCTTCTTCTTCTTCTTCTTCTTCTTCTTCTTCTTCTTCTTCTTCTTCTTCTTCTTCTTCTTCTTCTTCTTCTTCTTCTTCTTCTTCTTCTTCTTCTTCTTCTTCTTCTTCTTCTTCTTCTTCTTCTTCTTCTTCTTCTTCTTCTTCTTCTTCTTCTTCTTCTTCTTCTTCTTCTTCTTCTTCTTCTTCTTCTTCTTCTTCTTCTTCTTCTTCTTCTTCTTCTTCTTCTTCTTCTTCTTCTTCTTCTTCTTCTTCTTCTTCTTCTTCTTCTTCTTCTTCTTCTTCTTCTTCTTCTTCTTCTTCTTCTTCTTCTTCTTCTTCTTCTTCTTCTTCTTCTTCTTCTTCTTCTTCTTCTTCTTCTTCTTCTTCTTCTTCTTCTTCTTCTTCTTCTTCTTCTTCTTCTTCTTCTTCTTCTTCTTCTTCTTCTTCTTCTTCTTCTTCTTCTTCTTCTTCTTCTTCTTCTTCTTCTTCTTCTTCTTCTTCTTCTTCTTCTTCTTCTTCTTCTTCTTCTTCTTCTTCTTCTTCTTCTTCTTCTTCTTCTTCTTCTTCTTCTTCTTCTTCTTCTTCTTCTTCTTCTTCTTCTTCTTCTTCTTCTTCTTCTTCTTCTTCTTCTTCTTCTTCTTCTTCTTCTTCTTCTTCTTCTTCTTCTTCTTCTTCTTCTTCTTCTTCTTCTTCTTCTTCTTCTTCTTCTTCTTCTTCTTCTTCTTCTTCTTCTTCTTCTTCTTCTTCTTCTTCTTCTTCTTCTTCTTCTTCTTCTTCTTCTTCTTCTTCTTCTTCTTCTTCTTCTTCTTCTTCTTCTTCTTCTTCTTCTTCTTCTTCTTCTTCTTCTTCTTCTTCTTCTTCTTCTTCTTCTTCTTCTTCTTCTTCTTCTTCTTCTTCTTCTTCTTCTTCTTCTTCTTCTTCTTCTTCTTCTTCTTCTTCTTCTTCTTCTTCTTCTTCTTCTTCTTCTTCTTCTTCTTCTTCTTCTTCTTCTTCTTCTTCTTCTTCTTCTTCTTCTTCTTCTTCTTCTTCTTCTTCTTCTTCTTCTTCTTCTTCTTCTTCTTCTTCTTCTTCTTCTTCTTCTTCTTCTTCTTCTTCTTCTTCTTCTTCTTCTTCTTCTTCTTCTTCTTCTTCTTCTTCTTCTTCTTCTTCTTCTTCTTCTTCTTCTTCTTCTTCTTCTTCTTCTTCTTCTTCTTCTTCTTCTTCTTCTTCTTCTTCTTCTTCTTCTTCTTCTTCTTCTTCTTCTTCTTCTTCTTCTTCTTCTTCTTCTTCTTCTTCTTCTTCTTCTTCTTCTTCTTCTTCTTCTTCTTCTTCTTCTTCTTCTTCTTCTTCTTCTTCTTCTTCTTCTTCTTCTTCTTCTTCTTCTTCTTCTTCTTCTTCTTCTTCTTCTTCTTCTTCTTCTTCTTCTTCTTCTTCTTCTTCTTCTTCTTCTTCTTCTTCTTCTTCTTCTTCTTCTTCTTCTTCTTCTTCTTCTTCTTCTTCTTCTTCTTCTTCTTCTTCTTCTTCTTCTTCTTCTTCTTCTTCTTCTTCTTCTTCTTCTTCTTCTTCTTCTTCTTCTTCTTCTTCTTCTTCTTCTTCTTCTTCTTCTTCTTCTTCTTCTTCTTCTTCTTCTTCTTCTTCTTCTTCTTCTTCTTCTTCTTCTTCTTCTTCTTCTTCTTCTTCTTCTTCTTCTTCTTCTTCTTCTTCTTCTTCTTCTTCTTCTTCTTCTTCTTCTTCTTCTTCTTCTTCTTCTTCTTCTTCTTCTTCTTCTTCTTCTTCTTCTTCTTCTTCTTCTTCTTCTTCTTCTTCTTCTTCTTCTTCTTCTTCTTCTTCTTCTTCTTCTTCTTCTTCTTCTTCTTCTTCTTCTTCTTCTTCTTCTTCTTCTTCTTCTTCTTCTTCTTCTTCTTCTTCTTCTTCTTCTTCTTCTTCTTCTTCTTCTTCTTCTTCTTCTTCTTCTTCTTCTTCTTCTTCTTCTTCTTCTTCTTCTTCTTCTTCTTCTTCTTCTTCTTCTTCTTCTTCTTCTTCTTCTTCTTCTTCTTCTTCTTCTTCTTCTTCTTCTTCTTCTTCTTCTTCTTCTTCTTCTTCTTCTTCTTCTTCTTCTTCTTCTTCTTCTTCTTCTTCTTCTTCTTCTTCTTCTTCTTCTTCTTCTTCTTCTTCTTCTTCTTCTTCTTCTTCTTCTTCTTCTTCTTCTTCTTCTTCTTCTTCTTCTTCTTCTTCTTCTTCTTCTTCTTCTTCTTCTTCTTCTTCTTCTTCTTCTTCTTCTTCTTCTTCTTCTTCTTCTTCTTCTTCTTCTTCTTCTTCTTCTTCTTCTTCTTCTTCTTCTTCTTCTTCTTCTTCTTCTTCTTCTTCTTCTTCTTCTTCTTCTTCTTCTTCTTCTTCTTCTTCTTCTTCTTCTTCTTCTTCTTCTTCTTCTTCTTCTTCTTCTTCTTCTTCTTCTTCTTCTTCTTCTTCTTCTTCTTCTTCTTCTTCTTCTTCTTCTTCTTCTTCTTCTTCTTCTTCTTCTTCTTCTTCTTCTTCTTCTTCTTCTTCTTCTTCTTCTTCTTCTTCTTCTTCTTCTTCTTCTTCTTCTTCTTCTTCTTCTTCTTCTTCTTCTTCTTCTTCTTCTTCTTCTTCTTCTTCTTCTTCTTCTTCTTCTTCTTCTTCTTCTTCTTCTTCTTCTTCTTCTTCTTCTTCTTCTTCTTCTTCTTCTTCTTCTTCTTCTTCTTCTTCTTCTTCTTCTTCTTCTTCTTCTTCTTCTTCTTCTTCTTCTTCTTCTTCTTCTTCTTCTTCTTCTTCTTCTTCTTCTTCTTCTTCTTCTTCTTCTTCTTCTTCTTCTTCTTCTTCTTCTTCTTCTTCTTCTTCTTCTTCTTCTTCTTCTTCTTCTTCTTCTTCTTCTTCTTCTTCTTCTTCTTCTTCTTCTTCTTCTTCTTCTTCTTCTTCTTCTTCTTCTTCTTCTTCTTCTTCTTCTTCTTCTTCTTCTTCTTCTTCTTCTTCTTCTTCTTCTTCTTCTTCTTCTTCTTCTTCTTCTTCTTCTTCTTCTTCTTCTTCTTCTTCTTCTTCTTCTTCTTCTTCTTCTTCTTCTTCTTCTTCTTCTTCTTCTTCTTCTTCTTCTTCTTCTTCTTCTTCTTCTTCTTCTTCTTCTTCTTCTTCTTCTTCTTCTTCTTCTTCTTCTTCTTCTTCTTCTTCTTCTTCTTCTTCTTCTTCTTCTTCTTCTTCTTCTTCTTCTTCTTCTTCTTCTTCTTCTTCTTCTTCTTCTTCTTCTTCTTCTTCTTCTTCTTCTTCTTCTTCTTCTTCTTCTTCTTCTTCTTCTTCTTCTTCTTCTTCTTCTTCTTCTTCTTCTTCTTCTTCTTCTTCTTCTTCTTCTTCTTCTTCTTCTTCTTCTTCTTCTTCTTCTTCTTCTTCTTCTTCTTCTTCTTCTTCTTCTTCTTCTTCTTCTTCTTCTTCTTCTTCTTCTTCTTCTTCTTCTTCTTCTTCTTCTTCTTCTTCTTCTTCTTCTTCTTCTTCTTCTTCTTCTTCTTCTTCTTCTTCTTCTTCTTCTTCTTCTTCTTCTTCTTCTTCTTCTTCTTCTTCTTCTTCTTCTTCTTCTTCTTCTTCTTCTTCTTCTTCTTCTTCTTCTTCTTCTTCTTCTTCTTCTTCTTCTTCTTCTTCTTCTTCTTCTTCTTCTTCTTCTTCTTCTTCTTCTTCTTCTTCTTCTTCTTCTTCTTCTTCTTCTTCTTCTTCTTCTTCTTCTTCTTCTTCTTCTTCTTCTTCTTCTTCTTCTTCTTCTTCTTCTTCTTCTTCTTCTTCTTCTTCTTCTTCTTCTTCTTCTTCTTCTTCTTCTTCTTCTTCTTCTTCTTCTTCTTCTTCTTCTTCTTCTTCTTCTTCTTCTTCTTCTTCTTCTTCTTCTTCTTCTTCTTCTTCTTCTTCTTCTTCTTCTTCTTCTTCTTCTTCTTCTTCTTCTTCTTCTTCTTCTTCTTCTTCTTCTTCTTCTTCTTCTTCTTCTTCTTCTTCTTCTTCTTCTTCTTCTTCTTCTTCTTCTTCTTCTTCTTCTTCTTCTTCTTCTTCTTCTTCTTCTTCTTCTTCTTCTTCTTCTTCTTCTTCTTCTTCTTCTTCTTCTTCTTCTTCTTCTTCTTCTTCTTCTTCTTCTTCTTCTTCTTCTTCTTCTTCTTCTTCTTCTTCTTCTTCTTCTTCTTCTTCTTCTTCTTCTTCTTCTTCTTCTTCTTCTTCTTCTTCTTCTTCTTCTTCTTCTTCTTCTTCTTCTTCTTCTTCTTCTTCTTCTTCTTCTTCTTCTTCTTCTTCTTCTTCTTCTTCTTCTTCTTCTTCTTCTTCTTCTTCTTCTTCTTCTTCTTCTTCTTCTTCTTCTTCTTCTTCTTCTTCTTCTTCTTCTTCTTCTTCTTCTTCTTCTTCTTCTTCTTCTTCTTCTTCTTCTTCTTCTTCTTCTTCTTCTTCTTCTTCTTCTTCTTCTTCTTCTTCTTCTTCTTCTTCTTCTTCTTCTTCTTCTTCTTCTTCTTCTTCTTCTTCTTCTTCTTCTTCTTCTTCTTCTTCTTCTTCTTCTTCTTCTTCTTCTTCTTCTTCTTCTTCTTCTTCTTCTTCTTCTTCTTCTTCTTCTTCTTCTTCTTCTTCTTCTTCTTCTTCTTCTTCTTCTTCTTCTTCTTCTTCTTCTTCTTCTTCTTCTTCTTCTTCTTCTTCTTCTTCTTCTTCTTCTTCTTCTTCTTCTTCTTCTTCTTCTTCTTCTTCTTCTTCTTCTTCTTCTTCTTCTTCTTCTTCTTCTTCTTCTTCTTCTTCTTCTTCTTCTTCTTCTTCTTCTTCTTCTTCTTCTTCTTCTTCTTCTTCTTCTTCTTCTTCTTCTTCTTCTTCTTCTTCTTCTTCTTCTTCTTCTTCTTCTTCTTCTTCTTCTTCTTCTTCTTCTTCTTCTTCTTCTTCTTCTTCTTCTTCTTCTTCTTCTTCTTCTTCTTCTTCTTCTTCTTCTTCTTCTTCTTCTTCTTCTTCTTCTTCTTCTTCTTCTTCTTCTTCTTCTTCTTCTTCTTCTTCTTCTTCTTCTTCTTCTTCTTCTTCTTCTTCTTCTTCTTCTTCTTCTTCTTCTTCTTCTTCTTCTTCTTCTTCTTCTTCTTCTTCTTCTTCTTCTTCTTCTTCTTCTTCTTCTTCTTCTTCTTCTTCTTCTTCTTCTTCTTCTTCTTCTTCTTCTTCTTCTTCTTCTTCTTCTTCTTCTTCTTCTTCTTCTTCTTCTTCTTCTTCTTCTTCTTCTTCTTCTTCTTCTTCTTCTTCTTCTTCTTCTTCTTCTTCTTCTTCTTCTTCTTCTTCTTCTTCTTCTTCTTCTTCTTCTTCTTCTTCTTCTTCTTCTTCTTCTTCTTCTTCTTCTTCTTCTTCTTCTTCTTCTTCTTCTTCTTCTTCTTCTTCTTCTTCTTCTTCTTCTTCTTCTTCTTCTTCTTCTTCTTCTTCTTCTTCTTCTTCTTCTTCTTCTTCTTCTTCTTCTTCTTCTTCTTCTTCTTCTTCTTCTTCTTCTTCTTCTTCTTCTTCTTCTTCTTCTTCTTCTTCTTCTTCTTCTTCTTCTTCTTCTTCTTCTTCTTCTTCTTCTTCTTCTTCTTCTTCTTCTTCTTCTTCTTCTTCTTCTTCTTCTTCTTCTTCTTCTTCTTCTTCTTCTTCTTCTTCTTCTTCTTCTTCTTCTTCTTCTTCTTCTTCTTCTTCTTCTTCTTCTTCTTCTTCTTCTTCTTCTTCTTCTTCTTCTTCTTCTTCTTCTTCTTCTTCTTCTTCTTCTTCTTCTTCTTCTTCTTCTTCTTCTTCTTCTTCTTCTTCTTCTTCTTCTTCTTCTTCTTCTTCTTCTTCTTCTTCTTCTTCTTCTTCTTCTTCTTCTTCTTCTTCTTCTTCTTCTTCTTCTTCTTCTTCTTCTTCTTCTTCTTCTTCTTCTTCTTCTTCTTCTTCTTCTTCTTCTTCTTCTTCTTCTTCTTCTTCTTCTTCTTCTTCTTCTTCTTCTTCTTCTTCTTCTTCTTCTTCTTCTTCTTCTTCTTCTTCTTCTTCTTCTTCTTCTTCTTCTTCTTCTTCTTCTTCTTCTTCTTCTTCTTCTTCTTCTTCTTCTTCTTCTTCTTCTTCTTCTTCTTCTTCTTCTTCTTCTTCTTCTTCTTCTTCTTCTTCTTCTTCTTCTTCTTCTTCTTCTTCTTCTTCTTCTTCTTCTTCTTCTTCTTCTTCTTCTTCTTCTTCTTCTTCTTCTTCTTCTTCTTCTTCTTCTTCTTCTTCTTCTTCTTCTTCTTCTTCTTCTTCTTCTTCTTCTTCTTCTTCTTCTTCTTCTTCTTCTTCTTCTTCTTCTTCTTCTTCTTCTTCTTCTTCTTCTTCTTCTTCTTCTTCTTCTTCTTCTTCTTCTTCTTCTTCTTCTTCTTCTTCTTCTTCTTCTTCTTCTTCTTCTTCTTCTTCTTCTTCTTCTTCTTCTTCTTCTTCTTCTTCTTCTTCTTCTTCTTCTTCTTCTTCTTCTTCTTCTTCTTCTTCTTCTTCTTCTTCTTCTTCTTCTTCTTCTTCTTCTTCTTCTTCTTCTTCTTCTTCTTCTTCTTCTTCTTCTTCTTCTTCTTCTTCTTCTTCTTCTTCTTCTTCTTCTTCTTCTTCTTCTTCTTCTTCTTCTTCTTCTTCTTCTTCTTCTTCTTCTTCTTCTTCTTCTTCTTCTTCTTCTTCTTCTTCTTCTTCTTCTTCTTCTTCTTCTTCTTCTTCTTCTTCTTCTTCTTCTTCTTCTTCTTCTTCTTCTTCTTCTTCTTCTTCTTCTTCTTCTTCTTCTTCTTCTTCTTCTTCTTCTTCTTCTTCTTCTTCTTCTTCTTCTTCTTCTTCTTCTTCTTCTTCTTCTTCTTCTTCTTCTTCTTCTTCTTCTTCTTCTTCTTCTTCTTCTTCTTCTTCTTCTTCTTCTTCTTCTTCTTCTTCTTCTTCTTCTTCTTCTTCTTCTTCTTCTTCTTCTTCTTCTTCTTCTTCTTCTTCTTCTTCTTCTTCTTCTTCTTCTTCTTCTTCTTCTTCTTCTTCTTCTTCTTCTTCTTCTTCTTCTTCTTCTTCTTCTTCTTCTTCTTCTTCTTCTTCTTCTTCTTCTTCTTCTTCTTCTTCTTCTTCTTCTTCTTCTTCTTCTTCTTCTTCTTCTTCTTCTTCTTCTTCTTCTTCTTCTTCTTCTTCTTCTTCTTCTTCTTCTTCTTCTTCTTCTTCTTCTTCTTCTTCTTCTTCTTCTTCTTCTTCTTCTTCTTCTTCTTCTTCTTCTTCTTCTTCTTCTTCTTCTTCTTCTTCTTCTTCTTCTTCTTCTTCTTCTTCTTCTTCTTCTTCTTCTTCTTCTTCTTCTTCTTCTTCTTCTTCTTCTTCTTCTTCTTCTTCTTCTTCTTCTTCTTCTTCTTCTTCTTCTTCTTCTTCTTCTTCTTCTTCTTCTTCTTCTTCTTCTTCTTCTTCTTCTTCTTCTTCTTCTTCTTCTTCTTCTTCTTCTTCTTCTTCTTCTTCTTCTTCTTCTTCTTCTTCTTCTTCTTCTTCTTCTTCTTCTTCTTCTTCTTCTTCTTCTTCTTCTTCTTCTTCTTCTTCTTCTTCTTCTTCTTCTTCTTCTTCTTCTTCTTCTTCTTCTTCTTCTTCTTCTTCTTCTTCTTCTTCTTCTTCTTCTTCTTCTTCTTCTTCTTCTTCTTCTTCTTCTTCTTCTTCTTCTTCTTCTTCTTCTTCTTCTTCTTCTTCTTCTTCTTCTTCTTCTTCTTCTTCTTCTTCTTCTTCTTCTTCTTCTTCTTCTTCTTCTTCTTCTTCTTCTTCTTCTTCTTCTTCTTCTTCTTCTTCTTCTTCTTCTTCTTCTTCTTCTTCTTCTTCTTCTTCTTCTTCTTCTTCTTCTTCTTCTTCTTCTTCTTCTTCTTCTTCTTCTTCTTCTTCTTCTTCTTCTTCTTCTTCTTCTTCTTCTTCTTCTTCTTCTTCTTCTTCTTCTTCTTCTTCTTCTTCTTCTTCTTCTTCTTCTTCTTCTTCTTCTTCTTCTTCTTCTTCTTCTTCTTCTTCTTCTTCTTCTTCTTCTTCTTCTTCTTCTTCTTCTTCTTCTTCTTCTTCTTCTTCTTCTTCTTCTTCTTCTTCTTCTTCTTCTTCTTCTTCTTCTTCTTCTTCTTCTTCTTCTTCTTCTTCTTCTTCTTCTTCTTCTTCTTCTTCTTCTTCTTCTTCTTCTTCTTCTTCTTCTTCTTCTTCTTCTTCTTCTTCTTCTTCTTCTTCTTCTTCTTCTTCTTCTTCTTCTTCTTCTTCTTCTTCTTCTTCTTCTTCTTCTTCTTCTTCTTCTTCTTCTTCTTCTTCTTCTTCTTCTTCTTCTTCTTCTTCTTCTTCTTCTTCTTCTTCTTCTTCTTCTTCTTCTTCTTCTTCTTCTTCTTCTTCTTCTTCTTCTTCTTCTTCTTCTTCTTCTTCTTCTTCTTCTTCTTCTTCTTCTTCTTCTTCTTCTTCTTCTTCTTCTTCTTCTTCTTCTTCTTCTTCTTCTTCTTCTTCTTCTTCTTCTTCTTCTTCTTCTTCTTCTTCTTCTTCTTCTTCTTCTTCTTCTTCTTCTTCTTCTTCTTCTTCTTCTTCTTCTTCTTCTTCTTCTTCTTCTTCTTCTTCTTCTTCTTCTTCTTCTTCTTCTTCTTCTTCTTCTTCTTCTTCTTCTTCTTCTTCTTCTTCTTCTTCTTCTTCTTCTTCTTCTTCTTCTTCTTCTTCTTCTTCTTCTTCTTCTTCTTCTTCTTCTTCTTCTTCTTCTTCTTCTTCTTCTTCTTCTTCTTCTTCTTCTTCTTCTTCTTCTTCTTCTTCTTCTTCTTCTTCTTCTTCTTCTTCTTCTTCTTCTTCTTCTTCTTCTTCTTCTTCTTCTTCTTCTTCTTCTTCTTCTTCTTCTTCTTCTTCTTCTTCTTCTTCTTCTTCTTCTTCTTCTTCTTCTTCTTCTTCTTCTTCTTCTTCTTCTTCTTCTTCTTCTTCTTCTTCTTCTTCTTCTTCTTCTTCTTCTTCTTCTTCTTCTTCTTCTTCTTCTTCTTCTTCTTCTTCTTCTTCTTCTTCTTCTTCTTCTTCTTCTTCTTCTTCTTCTTCTTCTTCTTCTTCTTCTTCTTCTTCTTCTTCTTCTTCTTCTTCTTCTTCTTCTTCTTCTTCTTCTTCTTCTTCTTCTTCTTCTTCTTCTTCTTCTTCTTCTTCTTCTTCTTCTTCTTCTTCTTCTTCTTCTTCTTCTTCTTCTTCTTCTTCTTCTTCTTCTTCTTCTTCTTCTTCTTCTTCTTCTTCTTCTTCTTCTTCTTCTTCTTCTTCTTCTTCTTCTTCTTCTTCTTCTTCTTCTTCTTCTTCTTCTTCTTCTTCTTCTTCTTCTTCTTCTTCTTCTTCTTCTTCTTCTTCTTCTTCTTCTTCTTCTTCTTCTTCTTCTTCTTCTTCTTCTTCTTCTTCTTCTTCTTCTTCTTCTTCTTCTTCTTCTTCTTCTTCTTCTTCTTCTTCTTCTTCTTCTTCTTCTTCTTCTTCTTCTTCTTCTTCTTCTTCTTCTTCTTCTTCTTCTTCTTCTTCTTCTTCTTCTTCTTCTTCTTCTTCTTCTTCTTCTTCTTCTTCTTCTTCTTCTTCTTCTTCTTCTTCTTCTTCTTCTTCTTCTTCTTCTTCTTCTTCTTCTTCTTCTTCTTCTTCTTCTTCTTCTTCTTCTTCTTCTTCTTCTTCTTCTTCTTCTTCTTCTTCTTCTTCTTCTTCTTCTTCTTCTTCTTCTTCTTCTTCTTCTTCTTCTTCTTCTTCTTCTTCTTCTTCTTCTTCTTCTTCTTCTTCTTCTTCTTCTTCTTCTTCTTCTTCTTCTTCTTCTTCTTCTTCTTCTTCTTCTTCTTCTTCTTCTTCTTCTTCTTCTTCTTCTTCTTCTTCTTCTTCTTCTTCTTCTTCTTCTTCTTCTTCTTCTTCTTCTTCTTCTTCTTCTTCTTCTTCTTC